CTTAGGACGGGCAGACTAAGGGTCAGAAGAGGGGAGGCCTGAAGCAAGCCCAGCCCATGGCCACAGTGGCCTGGTGCAGACTAGAAGGCCATGGTCAGCCCAACAACAAGCCATCTGCCTGCTGCCCACCCCGAACTCATATCCAGGTCCCTGTTTAAATTTCTGTTCTTGCACCACAGCCCCCCAAACTCTCCTGGTAGTTGCCATTGAACCCTGATCCCCATCTCCAGTATCTCTAGTCACTTGATAGTAACAATACTCTATTGCTGGAGAGAAGGGAGAGGGCAGGGCTGAGATTTGAGGCACACCCACTTCAGACACTAGTAAAAACATTGCAAAGCTCACATTTTAAATGAGTTGCACAATCATGGAGCGTCGGAGCGAAGATGTGAATCATTAGCTAGGCAATTAAATTTATAGAGACCCCACTGGAGTTTTGGAATTAGAAGGGAAACAGGGCGCAAGGAGTACCTGGCTCTGTTCAAAGAGAGAGTGGGGCCATCCCTGTCTCTCGGCCAAGGATCCCCAGGATGGAGACCTGAGGAGCGTCAGCACCTTGGACAAGGCCAGTGCGGGGAGCTGGCCTCTAATTAGCAAAGACGTGGCCTCTCCTGGGCCAGCTCCTCTCCCGAGTGCTTCACAAATCTCATCTCTCTGAGTCCCCCTAGTAACCCTGTAAAGCAGTATCTTTATCCCCATTTACAACTGGGGGAAACTGAGACACAAAGAGGTGAAATAACACCAGTTGGTGAGACTGGGATTTGAACCCAGAAAGTCTGGTTCCAGCCTGTGCTCTTGACCTCTCTGAACTGCCATATTCCTGATCCCCAGACACAAAGGCATAACATGGCCCAGCTGGTAGGGCCATGGGTCCTCAACTAGCACCGGCACACTCTTTTTAATACTTATACAAAAATAAATGTATGTATTTATATGTATATACATGTATGTAATCTGTACATATACGTACACACATGTACATATACACACACATGCTTGTATAAGTACCTGTATAGGAATGCATGTATATGTATTTAAGTGCCTAAGGTGTGCTAGAATACAAATGACTTGCCCAGGTCACACAGGAAGAGAGTTCATCTGAACAGAGGTCTTCTGTCTCCCAGGGAAAATACCTTTGCTGGCCTTCTGCAAACACACCCCAACCCCATACTCTCTGTTCTTTATGCCAGAGGGTCCCCCTGGGCTGTCTGTCAAGAAGCAAGAAGATTAGGGTGACAGGGCATCCTTGGTTCCGAATAAGAACTTCAGTGAGGGCCTCCACCTGGACGTGCTCAGAAGCCCGAAATGGCCCCGGAGATACTTAAGAAAGTCCCCATGGATTCGGACTCCTTGGGGTTCCTGTCCCGCTCCCCACTGCATGTGGTCCCCATGCTCAGAGAGAGAAATGGCCAACCCCCTGCAGACATCTCACCCACCTGCAGCAGGAAAAGCAGGAAGAAAGAGAAGGGGGGAGGCAGAGGGCGGCTGAGTCTGTCCCCCTAGACTCTGGACACGAGCAGCTGTCTCAGGCCTCACCCAGGCCCTGCCTGTACCGAGTTGCCCAGACTCACGTAACCTGGCAACCTCTCGACTTTGTTCCTGGGAATCAGGGTTGCCCTAGGAAGAGGGTATGGGGAGGGCACTGCCAGGGCCTCCGTTCCTGAGGCTCTCCGCCCCCCAGGTCCCAGCATCCGCTGGCAACAGGGCTCCTTGCGGAGAGCACCATGGGCCGAGTGGCCACAGACAAGGGCGTCTCTGTCCTGTGGGTTCAGATCAGTCACCCGCTCGGGCTCAAGGACTCAGGTCTTGCGGGGGAGCACAGACAGCCCCGGGGTGAGCGTTCCCCAAGGCGCCACTAAGCTGGCTGAGCGGGCGGGTAGGCGAGCGAACCGGCTTTCCACCCACCCCTGCTGGCCGCTCTTTCCCTGGGCTGACAGAGCCCCTTCCTAACCAATGGAAGAAGCTGATCAAAATGGAATCGGGGCGCTGTGGCCACCAGGGGTCACCGACACACACTCGTGCTGCCAGGCCGAGGCCGACGCAAGCCAGGACCAGGGCTCTTTGTTCCCGGCCCGGCTCAGAGCCTAGCCGAGCCCTCCGCACATCCCCGCGCCAGGGCGCTGGGGCAGGCACAGCACCCACCACCCCCGCCAGACTATTGCGGGAGCGCCAGGGAGCTGGGGCAGGCACAGCACCCACCACTCCCGCCAGACTATTGCGGGAGCGCGCGAGAGGCCCGCCTAGACGCTGAACAAGTGGAGCACAAATCACATGGCAAAGGGCAAGTGTGCGGAGAGGCGGAGACAACTGTGGCGACTCGAGTGGGTCCTTCTGGTTTGCAGGGTGGAGAATAGAGGCAGGGAGACTAGTTAGGAGTCTTAGGTCAGCCCAGGCGACAGGCAAAGGGCAGCCTTTGCAGAGAAATGTTATGTGAGTGGACTCTCCTGAGCACTTCCCTGGTGCCATGAACTGGATTGGTCCTGTTTTGGAGGCTGGGAAGGACTCGTGGGCCAGAAGGCAGTTAATCTCTGTTTGAAGAAGGAATGAGGTTTGGAAGCTCCCACCCAAGCAGCCCCTGCATGGTTAAAACTCTAGAATCTGCAAGAGACCAGTTTGAAGGCTGTCCCTGGATGTGTCCGCACAGGCAGTCACTGCTATTGAGCACTTCGCTGGGAGTCTTGGTCTGGGGTTGGGGCCCTGGCTCCACCCCTGAGGCAGGTGCAGCTATATGGCCACTGCCCACAAGAGGACAGCAGAGAATCACCCTCAGCCAAATGGGTGCCTCTGGCCAGAGTAGGGGAATGAAGTTAGAGGCCAGGGCAAGCCCAGATAAGGACTTTTGACCTTTGTCCAGTGTAGGAAGGAAGGATTGCTTTGCACTTAAGGACCCGGGCTCTGGAGACAGACTGGCCAGGTCCATGTCCCACTCTGTCTCCAGGGCTCAGGCAGCCACACAGGGACCCTCTCCCTCAGAAGGGCTCCAGGCTCCTCGGTTGCTTTAATGCTCTGCTGTCGCCATCTTAAATTCTTAATAATTTTTAAAATAAGAGTATTTTCTCTTGGTTTTATTTTTGCACAGCAAACGATGTAGCTGGTCTTATCTGTCACTTACTAGTTAAGTTTTCTTGGGCCTTGTGTAACCTTCATTGGGTTGATATCAAGTATGTACCTCAAAGGGTTGTTGTGAAGAGTCTTTGAGTTAATATGAAAAGTAATTGATCATGAAGACACACAATCTCAGTTACTATTATTATTAGAGCATTCAGAGGCATATTCGCCAGATTACCGAAGGCTGCTGTCCACCTCCGCCTTATGAAGAAGCATCTGGCTGGCCATCAATCAGTCCGTCCATCTAGTTCTACTGCCAGTCACTTGCTGGGGACCATGAAAACGAATCTGACCTTGGTCCTGACACTGAGGAGCCCACAGTCTAACCGCAGAGCCTCTGGTCACTAGCTAACTTGCCTTCCTTTCTGTCCCTGGTGCCAGTGCACAGGTGAGCAGAAAGGAGCTGACGGCCCAAGGACCGAATTGCTGCAGCCACCAGGATCTGAAAACAGACACCAATTCCCGTGTGTCCACTCAGTTGTGCCAGCTGTGTGACCTTGGATAGGGCATTTCTCCCACCTGATAAAAATAACCCCCTCCCTGCTCCAGGCTTGTCAGAAGATTGAGAGGAAGGGTGGGGTGGGAACATGCTGTATCTGTCACCTAGGGGCTGTGTGTGTGACAGCTGCCACCAGGAGAGTCTTCGAAGGGCATCCCCTCACCCACTCCTCTGCTCAAAGCCTCAGGCCTCTCACAGCTCCCAGAACAAGGGAAATGTATCGTTAAAAAGCTGGTTTCGTGCCCGGGAGCTTGGAGGGGCTTGGGGAGCAGCTGTAGGCAGACGCACAGCGACAGGCAGCAGAGAGCGTGGTCAAGGGGACAGTGCCATTCCTGCATGGAGGGTTTAGCCTGGGGATGGCCGGGCGATGTGGTAGAAAGAACTCCATCTTGGGAGTGAGGAGGCCCCAGTTTGGCTCCAGTAGTTGGGACAATGACTCCTGAGTGGTGTGGAGCCAGTTCCTTGCCCTCTCTGGGCCTCCCTGTGTCCACATGTAGAGGTGGTCAAGTGCTCACCCTGGTGCCCTTCTAGCTTGAATTCAGTAGTAGACACTCTCAGTGCCTGGCTCATGTCCCCTCTGTGCTCTGTCTACTCTCCACTGGTGGCTTCTCTCTGTGGGCACCTGTGACACCCCCCCCCCC